ATTTAATCGGCAACATCTTTTGCTAGGTATCTTTACTTCGTAATTCATAGAAATTGCAGAATGTCAACCTTCCTCAAATTATCGAGCATCAATCTCCCGACTTTTTCCATACATTCACTGTACATTTTGCGCTCGCCCCAGCAGTTTTGCACCCCCGGCAAAATGGCGGCGTTGACCTTGAAAGGGTCTATTTCGACCTACATTAGATGTAAATGACACCTCTGACCAGAGGCACTGCATTTGGGAAGAGAATTAAATTCGATCGTACTGATTTCGACGCATAAAACCACGCCACGATTTACGTCGACGGAACGACGAATTTAATGGAATTGAATTCGTCTGATTTAAATTCGACTGTAGCGCGACGTATAAAACTAGGCCTAAAAGACGAAAATTCAAAACAAAGATGGCGGCGCGAGGCTTTTTCTACTTTTGTAAGAAGTTTACCTAACAGCGTGTATTTGATATGCTGAACGGCTACTGCGTATGCAGGAGACAGAAACGAAGATAAAGAAGACGATTTTCGGAGACATAAACATTGCTTCTCATCTAAACGAAATATCCAACCGATGTGAAATCTTGCGACGGCGAAAATAGGAGAACTCAAGTGAAGGATAATTCTGCTCCGTATAATTTTTTATAATCTTTGTACATTTTCCTTTTCAAGTGCCGAAACGAATAACAAGAAAAATCACGGGGTCACCGAGTTGGTTTTCAAATTATTTGAGCCATAAGCTAAAAAATGCGCCTGAATAATCCTTTGAAAGCGTTGCCATGGAAACTGCTAGTGACGAAATGACACCTGATTTTGGATAACCAATGATTATATAATTCAGCCCTGTAGAAGTATTCAACTGGCCTTGATCAGTCTATTTGTTGTATTCTTTCAAAGTTACAAACCGTCAAAAAGATGAAAACTGGTACTAGCCACCTTAACTGTAGAGTACATTTTGGAAAATTGGTTTTCACGGTAGTTGGCCGCTGATTTTGTGCTCGTAAGTTCGCTTTCCTTTCATAGGATAATTTTCTACGTTGCTGTTTCTCCCAACTTCACACCAACATCTCGCAGATAAGCAAAATTTTTCATTACTTTCATTCCTTAAGATGCTCAACCGTTGTTATGATAGGTGTTTTTAAGTTCGCTCTTTTTGATGGCTTAGTATCCGTTTCCCTTGTTTTAAAATTCTTTCAGTTGTAGAAACGACTGGAATAATTAAGTAGGAATCACTTAGCTTCAAAAAGACATTTTCCGCCCATTTTTGTCCATATTCAAATATTGCAATTTGTGCAATAATAGAACCTCACACCCATTGAGTACACATTGTAAAGCTTTTCCGATTACATTCTGCGATTACGTAGTTGAGTATGCCAGAGGTTCTGTCGGTTCTGTGCTAATTCACCCTACTATAAAACAACCACAAAACACGAAACCATTTCATGGAGAGTAATGAATGTGCAGCGGGCTACTGTTTCAGGCGGCCTTTAACTCGATAAACTCGGCCTCACTACTCAAATAATCAATAATGAACGGGTATTCATCACTCTCCACCATACCCACATCCGTATCAGAAACAGTGTCCATAGATAGTCAAAACCGGCTGGGCCGACGGTCCGAAGACGAACAACTGGACACAGATTTTGGACAATTGCACATTAAATGGTCAGAATCTCAACGCTGAAAAAAAGAAAAGAAACATTAGCGAAAACGGAAAAAGTAAACGAAATCAGTATTGGTAACACGCCGAGAGAAAAAACTATGGACAAAACACTCCTTACATACTCACCAATACGAAAACCCAACAGAATACATACCATACGAGTCAACGCCCATCCCGATACGACCTTTTTTCCTACCATCTACCTACAGGTGTTGTTAATACGGTGGCTGGTGGCGGAAGAGCTCACCACGGGGGTACTGCAGACTGTATGGATTATCAGACTCCCACCATGGACGGAATAGGAAGAGGGGCCAGGTTTAATTACCCTTGGGGTATCGTTTTCGACGCAGAAGAAAATGTGCTTTATGTGGGTGACTGTGTAAGTAGATGTATTGTGAGATTTTCAAAGGTGTTTAGGCCGTTTTCAAACGTATTAAACGACCATGTCAATAGTTCTAGGCACGACTATAGGAGCATGACCCTTCTGTTAAGTTTAGGATTGAAATTCGGGTAATAAGATTTTATTCCATACAGAGGTTCTTTCGCGCGGCACAAAAATCCCTTTATTTGGATACTATGTCTAAATTCCATCCAAGGAGAATGTTTCAAGTGTAAAGAAGGCTGTTCTAACTTGTAACTATACTCTTATTTTGTCTTCCCTAGCTGCAAACTAGCGGTGTTGGGGGACAAAAGACGGCGACAAATGAGCCTTTCATCTCCCTCGATCTCATTCATAATTCTCCTTACTGTCTTCTATACAATTCTTGCGATGTTAGTTCAGAGAATTTGGTCGTGGATCAACCAACAATTCCCCAATTTTTATTTTGTATGTTCTCATCACTTGCCTGCTTGAAATTGTTTTGAATTTTTTTAAATTAGAAATTCTGTCTTTGTCACTAATGGGAGTTAAAGGGTTAAATTAAAACTATGCTGAAATTTACACCTTCCCTCTCACGCAAACATTTCTTGGTCATGATGATGTTCCTCTCAATAACAGGGCTGCCCTGAGACGGTCCACAGCAATGATCGTTTGAGGAAAATCGATATTAAGACTGGTAAGCAATATTATCTTACTCGATATTCAAGCCCGAACTTCCACTTGGACTAAAAGAAATCAAACGTCAGATCATTTTATCTATACCTGGAGACTCTTGAATCTTTCAAGCATTTGTCAAGTTTGAATTTTATCGCAGAGTTTCAATCTTTTCAGGCCGTGTAACGACGTTAGCTGGCAGTGCTCAGGGATACAAAGATGGGATCGGTGAAAATGCTAAGTTCCGTCACGTGTCAGGTGATGTAAAACAAAGTAGCTAGATGCGGTAGTTAAAGTGGCGATGAATCAATCTTCATATTAACAGCCGAAGGGTTTGCTCAAATTATGCTCGTGTAGATGAAGATTAGGTAGTCACATGCTCAAAGAGAAGTTTGATGTTTACTCAAGGTGTTTAGACACCGGTGTAGTATCACACTAAATTTCAGCGAAGGCCTTTTGTTGAGTCTAGGCATTGACAAAACATCCGCTAATAGTTTTAAGCATGACTTGCTAAGTATTAGCAAACGGTAGACTAAGGAAGGAGCCACACGTGGTTGTGTTCGCCAACGAGAGGCGATTGAAAGGTTCTCAACTACGGTGATCTCAAAGGGGAAATTAAGTGTTTTTGGATGGAAAGTTGTTTTGTGCGTGATTCTCATTGAAAGAGAACCTTTAGTGATAACTGAATTTGGAAGTGCCTTCTTCTCTTGCAGGCATAGTCATGGATCAAGTGGAAAAAGTTTTATATGTTGCCGATAGTGTAAGTTCAACGTCCAGTAACTTTCCACTGTTGCACAAGAATGAAAAAACACCTCGTTATGATGGGCCATGAAAATTTAAACTTTGGCCTTGTGAATAGGATTGTGATAGGCTTGTGATAATTGCTTTATGAAGCTGCACAGCCTTAAAGGAACAATTAAATAAACAAAGCTACCCCATCAGGCCACGGCTAAGTCGGAGTGATGCAACTCAAAGATACCAAGTGTCGACTTACTTATTGCGAAAAAGGAAAGGTTGATCAATGTTGAGGTCTTCCCTAACGTTTAAGTGTACTATATAAAGTTGGAGAAAGTAATTCTTATTAGTTTATCTCGGTTTTGTCCTTAAGGTGCTCGAATTTCCACTTTCATTAACAGGACGTTAAAGGCAAAGCCCGAAGCATCTCAGTGGGTCGAAATCTTAAAAGTTCGACTCGTGCGATCATAATCGGTCCAGCCTTTTCTAAAACGAACAACGCTCCGGAATTTCCTCTCCATCTGCCACTAACCGGCATGAAGGGAAACCAAGAGAAAAAAATTGTAACTTATTAACCAGTCTAGGTCAGTCCAAATGGGACAAAAAGAAAACTGCGCCCTTGGTCTTGAGTACAGTTTTTCCTCCTACAGACCTCCTTCCCGGTAAATAACATTAAATGGCTGGCCGTGCCCGAGGGCAAAATGAAATTTTATCCTGCGCAAGAAAAAAGTGAATGGAGCGGACGTACAAGTTCGTAATTTTTGGACGGTGTTGGCAATGGAATCACAAAAAGCTGCAGAAGACAGTCATAACAAACAAAACTTAAACGATATATATATGCAACTAACTGTATATATATATATATAATTATACCTTAAGATTTAGGTTACTTGAAATTTTACTGTTTTGCAGTAAAAGTTCAAGTAACCTAAATCTTGAGGTATAATTATCCATAGCTCTAGCCCTGCTATTGAGCACTTTTTAGTAGATGATGATCTCATTCCGCTATTTTTGTTTATATATATATATATATATATATAAATAGAATAAATGTTTGAAAAGAAAACTAGCCCTGAGCGGGATACGAACAATTGACCTTTAACTTACAATGACTGGCTATAAAAGCTGGAATACGGTTGCTAGGAGATATAAAAACGACGCTACTTCATTTTAAGTTAACGTTCAATCGTTGAAATTACTTGATGAGTGTGGTCAATAAAACGATGAACTACCTCTGAAGTCTTGAACCAGTTTGTTATAATTATCAATGCTCCTCTAAGAGTTGAGCGCTCTTTGAAATACATTCAAATCAAGGTCAAGAATTTATATATATATACATAGCGGTTATAAATTAATGACAGGAAGATCGTTTCAGCGTTACTCTGAGTTTCCCGTAGCTTGCGCTGCGATCGTCAGACGGTTTTTATTATCGATGGAAAACATACCGTGCTACAAGGTCAATTTATAAATAGAAATTATAGTTAAAATAATAGGAAGCAATTAAGAAGACAAAAGGACTGTTGCTATTGGTTTCGCAAGTAGAACTTGTTTTCATGGCGGCACTTGGAAATGAGTTCTGATCGTTTGTTTAATGAAGTGGATTTGTCCGCGGTGATAATGAGGAATTTTTCGGCAAGGCAGAGGTTGCATGTTCTTGAATTTCCTTTGTAAGATGNGCACTCCACGGTAAACAGCTCTGGACTTGACAGCAGAATGTCAGTATCACATCCGAACGGGAAAATCCCTTCACTTGTCACTTGTCACACAATATCGCTTGTAGATCACAAACAGGGAACGAAGTCCCAAATCACAACAACAACCTGACTAGCGAGCTGCTTATATAAGCATCCGAAGAGAGTCTAGAAGTTTCCAAAAGTAACTATTTATAACCATTACAATAGTAGCTATTTATAACTATTACAATAAACTCTATTTTTAAACTGATGAGTCACAGTTCTAGAAAATTCTTGAAACAACATATTGCTTGACATTGACTTTCGCGAACTTTCTAGACAATTCCGATCCTTGTAACAATATATTTTGAATTCTCATACTCGTCATATACATCCCTCTGTATGGAGAGAGTCAGTCATCGTGTGGACTGAAAAAAGATGTTTCTTCACTTATGCAGTTACTAGATGTCCTTGTGTAAGATAAAATATCTTTGAAATACTTATACCAGGTAGTACAGGCCCATGTGTCGTTGTTTGGGCTTTTTCTCCTTTGTAATCATTCGCTTGCAACCTTAGTATACATTCGCTCACGTTGGTGTTCGTTTTTTGCGCCTCTTAAACGTCTGTTTGTTTTCGTTTACAATCGTCAATCTTTTAGTTCAAAGGTGCTTTGCTCTGCATTTCGAGTAACTGGCACTGACTTCTAATTCCTCGACGCCTCTTAATATACGATAATAACTCCGTATTGTTTTGTTCCGCTTGTGAAGTGTGGATCAATATTCCCATCTTAGGTGTAGTCACTTCACTGGCGGGTGGTGGAAGAGAAGGATTTAAAGACGGTGTTGGAAGACAAGCAAGGTTCAATTATCCCGAGGGGTTGTACTTTGACACCGATTATAATTTACTCTATGTTGCAGAGTTTGTAAGTATCAACAAAGAAATATTTAAGTAAGTAATTGATAAAAAGATAATCATTAATTCGTGCTCACGAACACTGATAAAAATTAGCGTGTCGAGGAAAGGAAGAAAGTGGAGAGAATCAGTTCCTAAGCTTTTTTTGTCTCTTCAACTGAAAAGCTTCCTCATGAACTCTTTATAGGATAGCCATGCTATAAGGATTGTCACCCCTGCAGGTAAGCGACTTTCGTTTCTTCCTCTAAATTACATATCTCTGCATGCGACATATCTGTGGTCAAAAGATACGAATAACTGAAAAGGAATCTTTATAACTTAATACCTTTCATTAATTAGTTTTAAAGAGGAATACTTGTATGTGCTTTGTAGATTCTGGAGTAAACAAGACCATCTTCTATAATCTCAATATTTTATGTAGTCAGTGCAATTAACTGTTCTTAAGGTTTAGCGTTTTTTGTTATTGTTATTTGGCGAAACCATTTTGGTACTTCAATGTTTACGTATACTTTAAACGGAAAATGTTTTTTTATGCAGACAATATCTGAATGGTATGTTTTTATAACAAAATGCACTATTCCAGTTCGCACATCAAGTAAATATTTCAGATCATTTTAAGCAAACCATCACACCGATATAAAACTCATAAATGTATGTTTTTTTCATCAAAGGTGAAGTAAGGACTCTGGCGGGCGGGACTGAAGGCTTCAAAAATGGAATCGGCAAGCAGGCGAGGTTTTTTCATCCCACTGGGTTAACGTTTGACAACAAAAGAAAAATTATCTACGTCACAGATCAGGTGAGTTTTTCATGTATTGCGTGTCTTCAAGTAGTCTCCCTCGCAGCGGTTTTTTTGGATGTCAAAACGGCTGCGAGGGAGACTAGTCTTCAAGAGATTACAGTTTTTAATCTCTAGGTGTCTTTTAGAAAATTGCGAGTTGGAAGGCGATCAACACAACAGAATTTTGTGCTCAGAGGGCATAGAGTGAGGGTTAAATTTGGAAACTTGCGATTTGAATTGCGATCCAAAAGGTCAACATACGAAAAGTACTATTCACTGTTTGATTTTCCGAAAAACTTTACAAATGGGGCATGTAGGTCAGCCTCGTCCTTAGAGCTCGAGTGTTTCCCATTGAACACATTGCTTGTAGATTTATTTTATCAAGAGCATAACTGAACTTTACTGCATTTTTCGAAAAATTTGTCTGTTTCCTTAATTTTTCAGTATAATCACATGGTGAGGAGTATCACTGCTGTTGGTTCAACAGTCGTAGATCCCAAAAAATCAGGTAAAAAAATTAGGGAAATGTTCGAGATTTTTTAAGGTGTTGGGAATTAGATAATTGCCTGACAACACAGCGGTTTTCCCGATAAACTCGCGCTAAAATCAGTCACTCACGATATAATTTTTAACAGATATATTTTTCTCTCACAACGTGCCGAGTTTCTTTTTTCAACACACGTGGTGTATTTTAGAACAAAGGATATACAATCGGTGAATGTTTCCTTTGATTGGTTACAGTTACTAATGATGACAGATTCGATGCCTATCCCTTTCCGG